TAGGAGCGCGCCCGGGATCTGAACCTGCAAACCCCAGGCTGCCGCAGTGGAGCGCGCACACTTAACCACTACGCCACTGGGCTGGCCCCTAAAATTTTTAATGAAGAACTCAAAAATATTAAAAAACGCTAGGCTAGAAGATAGAGATTAAGTAAGGTGCATCACAAATTTAAAAACATGTACCCTGGGCTGAGATGAAGTGGGTCTCAGGAGCTAAGGCAGCTGTGATGGCCAGCTGTTTTCTTGTTAGCTCTCTGCCTGAGGCCTGGGGTCCCTGGCAGGTGCCCTTGAGGCAGAAAAGTGAGGGCTGGGGGGGATATCCCCAGATTTTCTCCGTTTTCCTTATACCTGAGTGACATCCAGTTAAAAAGACTGATTGCCAGCTGATGACTGAGTGTGCTGCCCCAGCCAGAAGGGGGTGGGGCCTGTGTGTTGGGGAGTCAGGAGGGATGATGTGGGAGGAGGCTGGGGCAGAAGAGCACAGTAGTGAACAGCCTGATCTGAGCTCCACTCTTTGGGGGACCTTGGACAAGTCGCTTAACCTCGCTCTCCTCGTCTGAAATATGGGGATGATTTTCACAGTCCCTCTGGTAGGGTTGTCTCAAAGGACTGAATGAAATGATGCGTGTAAGCCTGCACAGGCCTGGCCCACACTCAGTGGGCGGAGGCTATTACCACTGTGATGCTGGAGGACCCTGGGAGCTGTTATAGAGTCTCCAGCAGGGAGGGGATGAGAGCGGATTTCAGGGCGTGATTCTGATGCTGGGGTGCAGTGTGGAGTGGAGAAGGGGGCACTTGAAGGCAAGGAGACTCAGGAGGCTGGTGAGTCAGTGAGATTTGTGGGCCAGGCCTGCAGGTTAGCTGTGAAGAGAGGGCAGCACAGTAGGCATAAGATGGCTTTTGTTGACTGGGTGGTAAATAGAATGGAATTAGGGGGAAGAACAGAGAGCGCGCGTCTGGGAGATGGCTGTGACATGTGGAGCCTGGGGACCTGGGGAGAGTGGTAATGGTGTTGGCGGCACAGGAGGTTTGGGTGGAGCGACAGGGGATGAAGAGGTCAGTACCTGACACATTCCGGCCTCAGCGGCCGTTTGTGGATCCCATTTTTTTCCTCGTCTTATTTACCATGTTGAGTTGCAGGCCCCAGCTCCTCCTCCAAGTGGAAGGCCCCTTAGGGAGTGGAATGGGCTTTCCCTGGCCATCCATCAGGTGGAACTGACATGCCTGGTCTCCTGCTCTCTCCTAGCCTTAACGAGTCAATGCCCTTGATCACCAAACAGCTGCAGTTCCTGTGGGGGGTGCCTCTGATCCGGATCTTCTTCAGTGACATCCTGAGCAAGAAGCTGCTAGAGAACCAGGAGCCAGCTCATGTGCAGCCGGCATCCCCACAGAACATGCTTCCCGTGAAGAGTGAGTGGCTGGAGCAGGCCTGACCCCACGGCTCTGCTTGGCTGAAGTGCAGCTCCTGATCGTCCCTGTGTGCCTGGCCCCCTCTGTTGTGTTATGCTCTAACTTCTTGAGACTGCCTAAATCAATTTTACATTTAGCGAAACAGTGACAGAAAATCCTTAGGAATAGAAAACAAGGACCAGGGGAATATAAATAGATGAACAAAATCAAGGTTGTGTATAGAGAAGAATGTCCACAGATAGATGTTCCCTGAGAGCCACCATGGTTATGTCTGAACTTCCATTTGGCTCTGAATTTCTAACAGCCAAAATGAAAAAGGGATTTGTGGACCCTTTCTTACTTCTCATTAACAAGAAGACGACTCATTTCTTAGGGGAAGTAGAGCTTCCCTCCTCAATTCCTAATCATAAAGGCAATCTTCCATGTGGGGCTCCTTATAAAGGGGACACTGGGTCACTGACAGGCTACCACTTCAGCAGGGCCCCCACTGCAGGGTCAGAAATGGGTTCCATGGAAACGTTCTTGTTGCTCTCTCTAATCAAAGTTAAGGAAATGCTGCTAACATAGTTGAGTGGAGTTACCTGCCTGTGGTAGATTTCCAGGTTCAGGGTAGCTTTGCTTCTGCCATCCAGTGTGTTGCAAAGCTCCATCTCGTAGCTGTCAGTGAGCACAGGCTCAATGTAACTTCAGCAGGATATAGATGGGAAGATTTAAAACTAAAGTTGAATACAACCCAAAATGATTATCAGTACTTGAGATCGATGCCCCTACTTCCACCTGACAGCACAGAAAATTGGGAATCAGCCAGGCCCCCCGCCTTTGCCCCTCTTACCCTAATATAGTTCTCAAAATTTTTACCTTTGTGGATCCTGAAGATAAGTCGTACAGTAGAAGAATCCCCTGTAAGAATTGAATGTGCCTGGCTTGTTCTGAGAAATTTTCTGATGTTCTGAAGAGGTCTTTGGGTTTCGTGTAGAAACTTATTGTTAATGCTTTGCTAATTTATCCCAAGGAGATGACTTGAATCAAAGCAGCAGCCCCACCGTCTGGCTCTGGGTGTAAATTGGGAGCTTTTTGGAAATGCTCTTCCCTTTACAGGGTGGAATTTGGCAGATGGCTGAACTTCTGCTCACACATTCCTTCTTCTCCCCGTGCCAGATCTCCTGAAGCGTGCGTTTCAGAAATCTGCATCCGTTCGGAATATTCTCAGGCCTGTCGGGGGTAAACGTGTTGACTCTGCGGAGGTGCAGAAGGTTTGTAACATCTGCGTCCTCTACCAGACCTCGCTGACGACGCTAACCCAGATCCGGCTGCAGATCCTCACAGGTTTGGAGCCTGAAGCGGCGTCTTCCATCCCTCACGTCTGGCGGATAATTTTTCTTAGAAAAAGTTTATTTTCTTCTGGCTTCCTTGACTCAGAGAATAGATGTGAAGGAAGGTATTTTTGAGCTCTTCTTAGAGGTTGGCACACCTCAGTTAAATAGCTCAAACTAACCTCCATCTTAGCACTTCCAGTTCATTCCTGTGGCTGGGCTCTTATTTTCATTGTGAAGTACAATTTGCTTTTAAAAAGTTGTAATGTTTTTCTGTGTAGAAAACTAGAAAAGACAAAGAAGCTGAAAAAAGAAAACTTAAACCACTCTTAACCCCACAGTCCAAAGATAACCACCTATACCTGAGTGTAATACATATGTGTGTGTGTGTGTGTGTGTGTGTGTGTGTGTGTGTAGATAGATTGAAATATATAGTTTTATCCTTCCCTTTTCATTAATCACTTTATAAGCATTTTATCATGTCAAAAATTCTTCCAAAACCTTATTTTTATTGGCTGCGTAATATCTCATTGCATGGATATGCCCAACGTTTCCCTTTTTAGCTGAGCAAGGAAGAAAGTCCCCTCTGTGAGCACAGAATTGGGCATCAGGGGCTTTTATGTTGTAGCGCAGAAGTTGTTAGTATGAACTGGTGTTATGTAATCCATGAGGCTGTTTACTACGTAAAGGAATAAGAACTTCTCTGTTGCATTTTAAATTTTTGTAAATCATAAATTGATGCTGCTTCTCTCTTTCACACTTATTTATTCGTCTTCAGATATTTATAGAGCACCTCTGTGTGCCAGGCACTGAGGATATAGAGGTAAATAAGACAGCCAAGGTCTGTGTTCTCAAGGATTATATTCTAGCAGTGGAGAGACCAATAATAAGCAAGGGAAAAATATATTTAATGTATTGATGGGCACTATGACAGTGAAAATCATGAAACATGGTGTTGGCTTGGACTGGAGCAGGGTTTCTCAGCCTCAGCACTGTTGACATTTTGGGCCAGATAATTCTTTGTTGTGGATGCTTGTAGAATGTTAGCAGCCTCTAGCCCCTACCCACTGATGCCAGTAGCACCTCCCTCCCCTCCTCCCCTAGTGTGACAACCATACATGTCTCCAGACATTGCCAGATGCTCCCAGTGGGGCGAAATCGTCCCTGGTTGAGAACCACTGGACTAGTGTGATGGAGATGGAAGCAGGAGGATTATCATGTGTTTCAGAGGTAGGGTCTACGGGTCTTAGCGGGAGATTGGATTTGGGGGAATGACGACTCAAGGTTCCAAAGATGATGCCAGCTTTTTGGTCCCATCATCTGTGTGGATGGCGGTACCATTTGTGGAGCTGGGCTGACCATCGGAGGGCAGGACTTGTGGGGCATCAGGAGTTCTGTTTTGGCTGTGATCCGTGTATGGGGCCTGCTGGACCTACAGCAGGGATGGCAAGTGGGCATATGAGTATACTGCGTGGGGGCCTGGGGAAAGGGTTGATGTGTAAAGCCTTGAGCCTAGGGCAGGTTCCCTAAGGAGAGTGCAGAGGGAGAAGAGAAGGGGCCAAGACTGAGCTTGGCTGCCCCAGCACCCAATGTGAGGGTTTGGGAAGCATACTGAGTGAGATGATTTTGAGGTGACGGCCTGTGTCCTACTTTTTAAAATGACCACAAATTTAAGCATCCGCTGTTGTCCCAATGAGAGAATCTGAAAAGAAGCTTTTTGGCTAACTTGAAAATATATGCTTTTAAGAATGAAGATAAACTAGTCTAAAGTGTATGTATAACATTCAGTCTATTAGTTTAGTGATACACAGATTATAGAAAATAACATACTTGTTTCAGAAATACTGCTGTTTTTCTACTCTCACAATTTATAAAGCTTGTTTGTTGATGTTCCTCACGTGCATGGGCTGGCCCTGTAGCCATGTGCTGCTCCTCTGACAGCTCTCCAGAGCACGGTGTCTTCATGTCCTTCTCCGTTACTTGGGCTGCAGCCCTTGTGGAATTGGTGTATGATGCTATACAAGAGTGTTTTCATCCAGACCATGAGTGCCCGTTCACATAATGTGAGGGCAATTACTTTTCGTCTTTTGTCCTATAGGAATATATTTGTGATCTCCACAGCGTTACTATTTACTCTGTTTCTTTTTTAACCTATTTTTAAATTGTGACATTTCCGCATTTTGTAACCACATCCTCCTACCCTTCAGAATGTGAGGTCAAACCTTTAGGAATAATAACTAAAGGGGTATTACATTTCTTTGCCTCCTTTACAGTTCCCTCAGTTCACCCTCTAAGCATCCATGAGTACCATTGATTGTCTCCCCACCCCTACTCCAGGCTAATCTATCTTCCCCAAATAGTTCTTTGTTCAAAATTAAGTAATTCAGAGTGCCTATAAAATGAGAGGTATTATAAAGACTCAACATAAGGTGACTACCCCTTTTCTAAGGAATAATTTGAGGAACACATCTTACTATTTATTTAGTGACACATGGAACTTCAGAGCCAGACTTCCTAAATCAGTAGTGTATTAATAGACTTAAAATGTAACAGTGATATAGCTTGTGCGTCTGAGGCCTTGTAGCCGTCAGGAAGCCAACTTAAAACGTCCTCTGCTTCACCCGAGGTTAAATTTTTGTTGAACACTTCAGAGTATCTCTGAATTCATTGCTTTCTCATCTTTATCATAGAATAATAGAAGTAGATGAGAGGAAAGCTTTGCTAAGTGTAGGTGAGCCTGCAGGATGGTGTAAAGCAGAGGTTGGCGAATTATAGCCACGGGCCAAATCTGGCCCACCGCTTACTTTTGTAAACACAGTTTTGTTAGAACACAGCCACATCCATTCATTTATCTATTGTCTGTGGCTGCTTTTGTGCTGTAATGGTAGCATTGAGTAGTTGTGACAGAGCATCAGGCCCACAAAGCCTAAAAATATTTATTCTCTGGCCCTTTTCAGAAAAAATTTACTAATCCCTGATTTAAAACATAAACGCTGAGTCAGACAGACTTGGGTTCTGGTCTTGGCTGTAGCACTTATTGGCTGTGTGATTTGGGCCGATTACTCAACCTCCGTGTGCTTGTTTCCTCCCTTATAAAATGGAAGTAGCATTGGGTTTCACAAGGTGGAAAAGAGATGATGCGTGCAAAGTACTTAGAGTGGTATCTGGCACATAGTAAGCACCCATTAAATGTTAGCTGTTATTATCATTGTTATTCTCACGGTGATAATGATTTTCCTGGTAATTGTACCTTCTTTCTCTCACATGCATTAAATGTTCACTAATAGGTGTAAGTGTTTTGTTTTCCCAGTGGATAGGAGAAATAATGGACCGGACGGAGCCCCACCTGAAGCTTAGGTTTCTCTGTCTCTTTCCAGGTCTCACTTACCTTGATGACCTGCTGCCCAAACTTTGGGCATTTATCTGTGAGCTGGGGCCCCATGGAGGGTTAAAGCTCTTCTTGGAATGCCTAAACAATGACACTGAAGAGTCGAAGCAGCTCTTGGCCATGCTGATGCTGTTCTGTGACTGTTCCCGGCACCTAATCACGTAGGTTGACTGCTGTGGGGCCGAATTCCTTTCCTAGAATGTGGAGAGACCAGATTACAACGTCAGTAAGGAAGCAGTTGCTGATGTGATTACTACAAATGTTTGGACCTGTGTGGCAGGGTCATTAGAAGAATTAGACGAGAAAGCAGTGACAGAGTGGGTGGCACGTAGTAGGGCTTCCACAGTTGTTGCTTCCCATTATTTCAGGGGAGCTGGGTCAGCACCACTGAGTGTGAGCTTTAGAGTCTCCTGGAGCTGGGTTCAAATCACCTTGGCCATTACTCACTGTGCTAGGTAGTTTACTGGAAAATTCCAGAGCCAGGGAGCCAAGGTGCAAAACCTGGCTCAGCTACTTACTAAGACACTCTGGGCAAGGGGGCAAGAGGCTCCACCTCTCTGAGCCTCAGTTCCCTCATTATAGATTATAGGAATAACAATAACCTCTTAGCACCTTATTTGTTAGCATTAGAAGAGATAATGTACACAAAGTACTTAGCACGGTCCCTGGAATATAGGAAGAGCTCACTACGTGTCGGCTATTATTCTTATCATTACTGTCAAGCTGCTCCCGGGCAAGTTGCTTAACCTCTCTGAGCCTCAGTTTCCTCATTAGTAGAATGGAGATAATATTACCAATCTGATAGGAGTAAATGAGAAAAGGAATGTCAAGTACCTGGCGCAGAGTGAGAAATTAACAAAATGTTAGTCCCATTCATTTCCTTTGTTCTTTAAGCTTATGCATCTGCTTGCCTATTTAGTATTCTTTTAGTTCCACTTTTTCCCAAGAGATTGGGCAAAGATAGATGATAGAATGGACCTCAGGCAGTTAGGTTCAGGCTAGAGGACACTGGGGATCAGGGACATGTAGGTGGCCGACTGGGTAAGAATCATGGAGGGAGGGGCTCAGTGAGCAGCTAGAAGCAAGAGCAGGGGTCTATAGCTACTGGTGAAGACACCCTGAATTGCTGGGTCACAGGTAATCCAAGAATGTGTCATATTCTACAGTGAATGGAGCAGTTTTAGGATAGAACTGTATCTTAATTGGCTCGTTTATTTATATATTCTTTCAGACATTTATTCATTCACTCATAAATACTTGTCAGTACCTACTAAGTGCCACTAGTGTCTGTTGTAGACGCAGAATAGGATTCCACAGCTTTCCTCAATAGACACAGACTCCCAATCAAGATTCCTGATGTTCAGGCGTGAATTAAGAAAGTGTCTCAGGGGCCGGCCCCGTGGCTTAGCGGTTAAGTGTACACGCTCTGCTACTGGCGGCCCGGGTTTGGATCCCGGGCGCGCACCGACACACTGCTT